ATTTTAAATAGCTTTTGAATGCTTTTTTCTCATCTTTTTGAGTTCCTACGCCATTTTGATAGCACCAACCGAGATTACATTGTCCACTAGCATTTCCACCCTCTGCTGATTTTAAATACCACTCAAATGCTTTTTTCTCGTCTTTTTGAGTTCCTACACCTTTTCCATAACAATAACCGAGATTAAATTGTCCACTAGCATTTCCACCCTCTGCTGATTTCAGACACCACTCAAATGCTTTTTTCTCGTCTTTTTGAGTTCCTACACCTATTCCATAACAATAACCGAGGTTAAATTGCCCATCAGCATTTCCACCTTCTGCTGATTTCAAATACCACTCAAATGCTTTTTTCTCGTCTTTTTGAGTTCCTACACCATTTTCATAGCACAAACCAAGTTTACATTGTCCCCTAGCATCTCCACCCTCTGCTGTTTTCAAATAACTTTCGAATGCTTTCTTCTCATCTTTTCGGGTTTCTATACCTTCTTGATAATAATTACCGAGATTAAATTCTCCTCTAGCATCTCCACCCTCTCTTGGAATTCCTGAGCTGGATGATGAAATAAATGGTGAAGACGTTGAAGTAACATCTAGATAGTTTTTATTTTTTGAATACATGTATGATAAAAATAACAAATTATGTGTGGTTACGTAAACAAAGGAATTTGAATTTCGCGCTGATAGTGATATCGATATTCATTTGTTGTAGATGCACATGAACACTGCCAAAAGTAATTAACGTTAACGATAAATGTTTAAATTTGCAGCCCAATTTTTTATTAGCGTTAGAATGCTTTTGTATTTACCAACTTTAACCGATACGTATGTTGTTAGTAGATCTCGTGAATAAGGAAAAATTTTGCTTTCTACTATGATATTTGTTCTATCGCTCTTTTGCTATTAGCGTTAGCGTTAGGACACAAATGATAAAACTTTTGCGTTGAGTACAAGTAAATTATTTCTCATTACGAAATTAATAGTAATACACCCCTCGTTTAAATTAATTGTATAGTGCCGCCGGTTCCAAAAGTATGCTTTTAGAAAAGCATGGTTGTATATATAATCACATTTTCTTAATACTCTTTGGATTTGACACTATAAACTTCATTTAAAAGAGGGTTCATTTAGGGATATAGTTGATCTCAAACCACAGAATTACTAGGTAAATTCTCCACTTCTAAACCGATATTACGAAATTTAATATTAATATTATTAGGAACTGGAACTGGAACTGGAATCGCGATCAGTTCCGCAATTACAATTATATCTTCTATAACCATCAACTCAATCTCTGCATTTTGTGGCATTCATACTACGATGTTCTCTTTTACCAAACATTAAGATTGAAGAGTACCCAAAAATAGCAGTATCCACACCATGAGAAGTCAGAAGTCTATTCAAAAGTCTTTGTCCATCAATACCGATCAAAATTCAATATTCCCATCGTGATAGAACCCGTGCTGCACCGATAAATACGACAAAAAACTTTATTCTGCGTTTCAGCAATAAGTTATTTTCTTTTGCCTACCATCATATTTTCGGAAAATGCCGTCATCAAGATTCAATATTCCTCGAATTCAAAGATGAGGATTTGGAAAGATAGAGGACAAGTATGATGTATTGTGGAAAGATTCACAATTAAAGTTGGACAACAACAGCACGTTGCGTTGTAATGAATTAACATAGGGATATCAATTAGTGAGTTTACCTTCGTTTGCTTCGCTCGAAACATACAAATTGACGCTTATTGATTCGGCGTCGATACATGTATGATATTTCGAACAATGCACGTCATTTTGAATTCCACGTGCCACATCACACATGGAGCAGTTTTCTCAAAACTAAATTTCATATTTCCTAATATGAGTTTTGCCCATGATATAAGCCACAAGTCACAAATCGATATTGCACCTATCCTAATTTGGATAAAACCAAACCGATACTAATACATAACTGTATGAATGATATGCAATATCATAACGATTAAAGATCGATATTAATAAACTGTTTTTTATTCGTAAAATTAACGTTGAACTATAAATACTATTCTGAAGATATTATAATACTATATATTAAAAACTAAAATTGATATTCTAATTTAAAATATAAATGCTAATTTCACCAACACAATTTTCGATCCAACTTTTAGCATAAAGAATAGCTCTTGTTGTCAGGTAACAACCGATTTCTGGTACGAGTAAGTGTAATCGAAATCACATGATTTGTTCTTTTTCTTGGTTTTCACTTTGATATTCAGATAATTTAATTATCAATAAATTACTGTTTTGCTTTTTTGGATATATGTTTAGCATTATTATCTTGTTGAAAGATAAATTCGCTATCTTTTAGCATTTTTTTATAAATTATACCTAAAAAGTTATTATTTAATAAATCAATATAGACGTTAATATTATTTTATCAATTTTTCAGAGTTCTCCAACTTATGATTAGAATTATATAATGATCTTTTAGTTATTTACTAGCTTTTTTTAATATCATTTTTATTTGTTTAATTTAATATTTGAAACTTGCTTTTATTAGACCAAATTATTTTCATTATTTATTAAGTATTTAATTTCAGTATTTTTTTGTTCATAATAATTGACAATTTTTATATGTCTCTTTGAGTAAAGATTTTTTCTGCTTAATTCTTGTAAATAAATAATTTTCTTAATAACTATTATATACTTTCACAAAAATTTTAATTTTCAATTAATTTTGAAGTTCATTTTGAATCTGAATGATATTAGAGCATTTTTTTATTAATATTAATTTGATAACATTTTTTTATAACAGTCTGAAAGAATATAAAAATAATTAAATTTTTGCTTGTCTTTAATATTTTCAGTTTTTTCTTTATTTTTGCAAATATATTGAACTAAAACTGACTTTATCCTTTTGGATAATATTATTTTTCAAATTATATATTTTTTTATCAGAGAATATATATAAAATATATTTTTTTAATAAGAAATAAGATATTTTAAAATAAATTATTATTCATAATAACAAATAATATTTTACAAAAATTAAAAATTGAAAAAAGCATTTTTTGACTTATTTTTATTTCTTAAACTATTTGAAAAATTTATAAATAAATAGTTTGAAGAATAAAAACTTAATTTTTTACTAATAAAATATTTTTTGATATAATAAATAAACTTTTTTATTAAGTTAAGATTTATAATATTATTTAATTTAAATAATATATTTATTCAAATATATATTTATAATTTTTACTTATTTAAAATTTAGAACAAATTTTTAGAAGAAATAGTTTAGAAAATAAGCTTTTATTTTTTATTTAAATCAGTTATAAAAAATAAATATTAAAAAAAATTAAAAAAATTATTTGTCTATAAAGTAATAAATCAATAAAAATATAAATTAATATAGAATATTTAATTATATTCTAAAAAAATAACAAATTTTTAAATAACAATAGCTAAAAAAATATTATTTATATTTTTTATAATTTATAATTAATAAATTATAAAAAATATAAATAATATTTTTAATATAAGCTAAACTTTGAAATTTTATTTATGAG